CATCAAAAGAGAGCCATCCTTAACTTGTTGGGCCATGTGCTTCTTATGTTCTTTCCTATTGCACAGAATAATCACATGTGATTACAGGTTGTGATTTTCCTAGGTTTTTTTTTACTAGTACATATTGAACCATTTTCTCAGACCTGCAACATACATTGACATTACAATATATTTGTAAATGTAGGTGCGCGTACACACACACACAGACACACACACACAGTTATATTGATGTGTTTTACTCTCCACCATTGAACACTTAAGTTTTTCTAATATTTTCTCTTTATTTACACCCCGACTATGAAGGTTTCCATGAAGAGTCAGAGGGTTAGGACGTTAAGTTGTGTAAGCCATAGGTTTCCTTTGCAGCCATTCAGGCCTGCCACTGCAGGGGTGTCAGAGGATTTATAAATGAACCACTCAGATGGCACTGTTCCAGGACCTCTGCCCTCTTCTTTGCTAGCTGGAAGCATTTCCGCTTTCCCTGGGATAAAAGCTCAATCACATCCTGCATCCTTCCGTGCATTGACTCAGCTAACTCTTGTGCTTCCCCAGTTTTAAAAGCCCTTTCTTTCTCAATTAGGCCTACTGATGTCTGATCCAACCAAGGCTAACCTGAAATTCCCTACTGAGCCCTGGCCCCTTTATTCCAGGCTATGGCACCCCCTTAGCAGCTCCATTGAGTAGGGGAGCCCCAGGACAACTAGAAGTATGGAAGAATAAGAGCAAAAAAACCACTGGACTTAAACCTCAGGATAGTCCCCGCAGTGTGTCAGGTGCACTGTGAATGTGCTACCAAACTGGGCTCACTTTGCTCCCAATACACAAACTCTGAAATGAAGGGATTTACACAAGAGAAATGAGGAGATGGCCAAGGACAGAGAGAGGTGAGAGATCTCATCTTCCTGAAGATAAGAGTTTCCAAATAGCTGATGAGTGGGGGAAAGATGCTTAGTAGTTAGGAAGTAATCGGAGCTTCCAGCATGTGTCATCAAACTCTCATGACCCCACATCAGGTGACCTCTATCCCTCTAAAATAGCAGCTGGTCCCATAGGAGCTGGGATGCAAGGAAAGCCGTGGTCCATCACCTCACACACACACACACACACACACACACACACACACACACACACACACACACACACTCCTTCTCTTTAGTCATATTCCTGTCACCTAGAAGGAGGAGATGAACCTGAAATTGGAAAGCAGGTAAGACTCTTAGCCCTGGCATGATGATATGCTCTGGCTTCTACTCCCACATCTCTTAAATTGTGTAAAGGGCTTCCCATTTCCAGCAAAGAAACAGGAAAATCATAGACACCCTAGGAAGGCAGCACCCAAGCACTGTGGAGCCACAGCAGAGAGCTCTTCTCTTCTGCTTCATACTGTCTCTCTTTCTCCATGGTCAGGAAAGCTCCATGGTCTCCATGGTCAGAATCGTAGATGACAAGTCTGTCCCTGAGCATCTTGTCAGTCTAGAGAATAAGTGTGTGCAGGGTGAAGCCATCATTTAGCCACAGGCCTGAATTCAGAACACTTGGGTCTCATCTCTTTAGACACAGGAGCCTCATAGCCAGGCCATTGGGTAGGATGGGGGACCTGTGTGCACTCTGGCCTGGTTTCCCAACACCATGAGGATGCCAGTCTTGCGTCTGATAGACAAAGTCCCCACAGAGGAATATTTCTTGTGCTTGTCCTCTGAAGCTGGGGCATGAAAGCATTGTCCTACTCTGCACCCCAAAAAGACTGGTTGCACCATCCTTTAATTTGGCTTTCTCTGTCCTGCTTCCATCTCCCTAGCAACTTTTCCCCTGCATTCTTGGGACATCTTATAAGCTATAGACCCAGATTGTCACTCTGTTGTCACTCACAGGCTTTTCCTCAGATTTTTTTTTCCTGCCCTATGTAATTTCTTCATATCTAAATTGATGACAAAGTCTTTATTTTTTTTGTTGTTGTTGTTTGTTTGCTTGCTTTGTTTTGTGTTTTGTTTTTGAGATAGGGTCCCTCTGTGTAGCCCTAGCTGTCCTGGAACTCACTCTGTAGACCAGGCTGGTCTCCAACTCAGAGGTCCACTGCCTCTGCCCCCCAAGTGCTGGGATTAAAAGAGTAGCAACCACCTCCTGGCTTTTTTTTGTGGGGGAGGGCCTCCACTGACTATCGAGGTGGGTAATGAAAGGCTTGGTCCTGACAGACATTTGACCCTTTAAGTATAAGTAACAGAATCAGCCAAATACTAAAGCAAGGAAAGCCATTTCTTTGAGAGGGCACATGTGTGGCACAAGGGCCACTACTCAGTCCCCTGCCCCAGTTTCTCAAGTGCAGCCCTTGGCCCCACTGTCAAGAAGAGAATCAGGCACTCTGATTGAGATGACATGGGGACAAAGGCCTTGACCCCCTGACTTAAGTGTCTTTGCCTGCCTCAGGTTTATTGCTGTAGTGACACAAAGCAGCTTTTGCCTTTGTAAAGGTACAAGGAAAAGCAATGTTCAATGTCAGCAGTCATCACAGAAATGCAAACCAAAACCATGAGAGACATTATCTCACCCCAGTTAGAATAACTATTACACAAAATCCCAAAATAGCAAAGACTAGTGAGACTGTAGAGAAAGGGGAACTCCCGTCGGGAAATCTCGGCAGAAATGTATATTAGTACAGCTATTACAGAAAACAGCACCAGAGTTCCTCAAATACATGAAACCAGACTGCCATCTGATTCAGCAATCCCACTGCTGGGTATATACACAGAGGAAAAGAAATCACTATATCAAAGACATACCTACATTCCCTGTTACAGCATTATCCACAACGACCAAGATATGGAACCAACCAAGGTCCACGGATGAATGAACAGATAAATGAAATGGCACACATACTGGTGGTAGAATAGTATTTAGTCGTGAAAAGAATGAGGTGCTGTTATTTGCAACAGCATGGATGAAGCCAAACGACACTGTGTTAAGTGAAGTAAGCCAGGCTTAAAAAGACAGATACTGTGCATTCTCAGGAAAATGTTGATGTCATGGAAGTAGAGAGTAGAACAGTGATTATCAGAGGCTATCTAGGAAAATTATACAGGAGAAAGAGTTTGGATAATGGGTACCAAAAGACAGTGGAGGAAATGAGTCCTTGGTTCCATAGCACACTAGCTCACTCTGCAGTCTACATCAATTTCTTATCTATTTCAAATAACTAGAAAAGATTGAAGGCTCCCAAAACACAGATTGATCAATGTTTGAGGTGACAGGAATGATGATTATCCTATTCGATCACTACATGTTGTATATGTAAACTGAACTATCACACAGTACTCATAAATATGTATACATGATACATGTTAATCTATAACTTAAATTTCATTCAAAAGTTAAAGAATTACAGAAATGTAAGTCAAAAGACTAGATATGTCTATAAGTTCATCTCTTTGAAATAATCACCATTTATAGTTTGGTAGACATTATTCCCATTTCTTCTATAGTACAGCAGTAATTATGTACCTTCATATACATCCTATCTCATATTCCATTACAATATATAATAAGTAATGTCTAGATGTAGGCCCATTGCCTAATTGCCACCATGCATCCAGAGACATGTCTCTGAGGTTTATCTGTGTTCATGGAGGCTTTTCTGCCTTGAGGAATCTATGAAGGCTGCTGCTAAGGGACCTGGGACTGTGGAATCATTATATCAAGAAGGGACATGGTCCTGTCTGTTCTCCAGCCTAGAAATCAGGTAGATGCACTAAGCCCTGCTTTTATCCTGTTGTACAAGACATATGTGTTCCCTGTGGAAAATTCAGAAAAGGTATTATCCATAGTCTTCTCACATAGAAAGCCACACTGGCATCCTATATGAAAGCTTTTACATACATACATACATACACACACACACACACACACACACACCCTATACTATGTGCCCATGGCTGGACACAGCCCTACCTACTGACGTCAAAACCAACATCATAGCGGTAAGCCCTGCCTGGACACTAGATGCAAAGAGAAAGAAGGCAGCTACAGCATCTGAGAATTAGGAAACATATCATTTCTCCATGGTCAGAAGACCATGAAGACACAGATAGACAATATCTTGCTTAGAAGCCTTTACAAACTTAAATAACCTGGGAATATTCTCAGTTAAAAAAAAAAAACATGTTTAAAGAGCATTAGGATGTCAACTTATTCTCAACAAGTGCTGGAAAGAACAGGCTTGGAAGGAAGTTAGCCCAAGCCTTGCCTGCCGGCCTTTCATTCATTCCAACATGCCGCCGTTCATACTGCCACCTGGTGGATGGGGCTGTGTCACTGCGCCACTCCACTCCTCGTTTTCTCTACTGAAAGCCTAGGACTGATTGTTGCCACGGTAAATCTAGAAGATGCGTCAAAATAACCTGGGAACTAAAATCACAAGAGCAGAGATTGAATGAGTAATCCAAAAATAGCTTGCAAACACACATTATCTCGGGCTTATGGGCCAAGCCTAGATATGTGGGTGACAAGGACTGTGCAAGGGAATCCTGCTGATGAAGAGGTATCTCGAAGCACCAACTAGATCACCACAGTGTATTCACTTAATTATGTGAGTGTAGTATCCGGCATGCATCTTCCACACTTGTCAGAGTAAGGTGGCTTTTAAAGGGTTGCTGTGTAGCAAGGGCATGCATGAGAATCATTTCTGAGGGGAGTCTTATTAAACTCTAGCCTGCACCCCAAACCCAGAATTCCTGCTTCAGTAGGTCTGATGTGGAAGCTAAGAATCTTCATTTCTTCCGAGGCATCTGTGCAATGGACCGATAGTGGTGGCCCATGAGTCTGCTCCGATTGTAGGCTAACTACAAAGCGTTTGTCAACCCCACCCTTCTCTCTGAACGTCACAGTCTCATTCTTATGCTGAAATCCTGGAGGGTCACAAACATTCCCCCTCTTGTGTGACAAAATAATTATAGTGACATAACCCCCATTCCCCATCCACCCACCCCTGCCTCACTAGCCTGAAAGTACTATGGTTTTTGACAAATGTCCACCCAAAGACCCATGTGATAAAGGCATGGCCCTTAGCCCCTGGCACTATTCAGAGATAATGGAGTCCTTTGGAGGTGCCATCCCATTGGAGGAAGTTAGAGCATTGGAGGCATGAACTTGAAGCAGGTGTCAGGACCACTGATTGCTGCTCCCTTTCTACCTGTTGCCTGCCCTGAGGTAGGTAGTTTCCTCTGCCACGTGGTCCAATTGTGAGGTGCAGCTTTGCTCCAGGCCCCACAAAGCAATGGAGCTGACTGACTATGGATGGAAACTTACGAAACCATGAACCAGAATAAACTTTGCCTCTTTGTAAGTTGTTTACCTTAGATGTGTGCCATCACAATCACAGAAAATGATCTAACAGGCAGGCACAGCGTAACAACAGAATTACAGTATAGGTCGGTGCTATTTAAACGTAATAAGAATGTGGTGTTCCTCAGGAGCTGCTCCACCCGCCACTGTTACTTGGAAATGAAATCTCTAAACCACCTGTTCCCCCTAGGAGTTCAGTGTGGGGCACTGTTAGCATCCCATGTAGTTTAACCAAGTGAGGGATTCTAGGCATATTGGACATTGAAACAAAGAGAACGCCCGTCCCTATTCCTAGGCTAGGCTCTGTGCACCACCTTACTGAGATTTGGATCTAATGCCAGGTGAACACAAGGGGGAGCTATTCAAGTTACAGAGGTAAGGGGTGGATATGCAAATTCACAGAGGGAAGGTGTGGAGGAGAGAGCTTGGAGACAGGAAGACAGGTAATCAAGAAGCTGAACCGTAGCTAAGGAAATGACTCTGGATAAAAGCTCTTGCTGCACAATGGTGTGAGTTCAAATCCCTCATCTACACTAAAAGGCAGGTGTGGCCATCCATGTGCCTATAAATATAGGACACTCTATGGGGTGGAGACAGGAGGATCATGGCAGTTTATTGTCTGCCAGCATAGTTCTACTTCAGTAAGAGACCCTGTCTCAAGGGAATAAGGCCGAGAGTGATAGAGTGGGACATCGGATGCCCTCTTTTTGCCTGTTTCCATGAGCACATAGGTGTGTGTATCTGCAAATACACACATGCATACACCAACACACATATAGCCCACAAACATGAAAAAGAGGAGGAGGAAAAGGAAGATGCAGCCGCTGTGTAAAATTGGACTAAGTATGGCCATGTGTGACATGGAGCTAGCCCTTGAGAATTTTTAATAACAGGGATAATAATAACATTATTAATATTAATAACATAATAACTTAATAACAGGGATAGAGCTGGTATGTGTGTGTGTGTGAAATGAAGCATGTACAAGTGTCCAGTGTGTGCCAATTCCCTTTCTCCCCACCCCATTTCTCTTTGTCACTCAAAGTGGCCTCCATTCTTTAGTAGTCTCAATGATGAGGCAGAGGGGCTATTTTCTTCCCCTTGGCATGCTGGTATGAAAGTATGTCATTACTCAACACTAAGAAAGATCTTTCATTCAGAAATGTCAGATACCTATCAGGGTTAGGCTTCAAATGTCTATCTTGACCCAGGTTGCAGGTGCCAGTCTGGTTCAGTGGGAGGGAAGGTGTCATCCTCTCTCCGTCTTGGAGCATCGACGCTGTATCAAAGGAGACTTCACTCAGCAACACGATGCTGGAGTTAAAGAACGTGTCCTCAGTTGCACAGGTGTCTGCTAGGCTGGCATTGGGGTCAAGTGAAGACGTCCGGTCTGGCTCTGAAGCCCAGCAGACTCTCAGCAGCTACACTATCTAGATCTGGTTCTGATGGGAAGGTGCAGTGGGAGGACAGGTGCTTTTCGTTCTCATGGGGTGCGGACCTCTCACTATGGTCTATGCCAGGTCTCACGCTCTAGTTTCAGAGCGTAAGGGGCATGAGAGCTGGTATTTGGAACAATTCAGTTCTCACTAATCAATGTTGGCAACAACTCCTTTGTCTTGCAAGCATTCTTATGGAGGCGCTTTGGGTGGTGACAGTCTCCTCTAGACAATGTGGTGTTCTTAATTGCCTGTAACTTTTCTTTTGATCTTGTCCCAACGAATGACTCTTTATCAGAAATTGTTCACATGCTACACTTCTTAACTATATTTCTATATAGGAACCATGAATCCATGTGTGAGCACAGAGCCAACAGCAATGCTAGATTAAGCCATGGAGTCTCTTCATGGCTTAATTATGTCCAGTGGAAAAACTTGCACGGGTCCTGACTCCTTTTTATTTATTTACTTTGTAGTATTTCCTTAGTACCTCACACACTTTTGCACAAGTTGTCCATAAGTGGCCTGTTCCAGAGACCAGAAAGACAAAACAGCAATCCCTTTTGTAGATGTTCATAGTACCGAGAGCTGACAGTTTAAAGGATGTTGTGCCAAAGTGTGAACACACACATACTATATATATTTTTTTCTCATCTCATATGCCCGATAAAGGATGACCTCTGTCAGTGGTAGCAGGGGAAGCAACCCAGAAATGCCATCAGCAACCTGAGGAGTTCCCCTCCCACTTAGAGACTTCTACCCAACTATAGGCAGATCTCTGACTCTACTACAGAAAAGAACTTCGGGATAAGCCAGAAGAGGGCAAGATTAGTGAGTTGACGTATTTCGACAGGAAGATGGACAGGGAAAGGATGGTACAGAACATAAGCCTGAGTGTGTGGGCTTCTCAAGGCGAGAGTCATGCTTATGCGTCTTGGCAACATCTTTCTATGTGGTTTTGTGATTTCTAAATTACATTATTCAAAGAGTGTCATTTATCAAAAGGTTGAGAGACTAAGTAATGTGTTTTAAATCAAGTAAATTTTTTAAAAAGTATTTTATATATATGGATGTTTGGCTTGTACATATGTCTGTGTGTCATGTGGGTGCCTAGTATCCACAGAGGCCAGCAGGGGACATTAGATTTCTTGAAAACTAGAGTGACAGACAGTTGTGAGCCACCATATGGGGGCTGGGACTCGAACCCAGGTCCTCTGAACCATCTCTCCAGCTCCCAGCATTAAAGTAAAACTCTGTGTAAATGAAATAATAAGATGGTTTGTGAGGTGTGTTGTTTAGATTTAGAGATGAAAAAGGAGGGCCCCAAACACTCTGGCCTCGAATAAGCAGAATTTGTTCTTTTAAACATCCTTGATAACAGGAGGTGCAAACTAGCTCCCAGGGGGAGGGGCTCCTTTCCCTTCCTATGACCCTTTCACCTTTCCCCTCTTTCCCTCCTGCTTCATCCCCACTTCACAGATGAGACCACTGAGGCTCAGCGACTCTACCTGTACTATTACTTGGAAAGATGTCTGACTAAACCTACACTGATCAAATCCTCACCTTCAGTATCCTGGGGACCACTCCCCTTCACGTGGTTCGAGGCAGATGAAGAAGGTGAAAGACAGCTGAAGTAACAGTGGAGCAGACATGGCTCTGACATTCTCACCTGCGGTTTTTCTCACTTGAGGTCCCCTCTTCTAAAATGACTCAAGCCTGTGTCAAGCTGACACTGTCTTTGTTCCCAGCCAGCAGGGTTTCTATAAATTTGCTTTCATCACGGGCTATTTGCTTGTCTCCAGCTCCCTCCTTTAAAGTGGGAGCTTCCTTGAGAACAAGTCCCACGCCTGTTGCCTCTATCACCCCTGCACTGAACACGAGCTGTGTTGCTCGGGAGCAGACTCACAAGCAGGGTTCAGAATTAATATAGCTCCTTCTTGCTGACATGAATTCGTATCTACACTCACACTTTTAGTGGCCACATGGTGGGATTCCAATGGGGGTTTACTGAGCTCCAGTGCTGTCACTTTAGAGTGTATGCCCATGGAATACCCAGTTTGGCAAACTCAAGATCCCAGTATGGGTCCTAGGTAGGCCCCCCTTCCTGTCCTCCCCCAAACCTTTACCATTCTCCCATTCTTATTCGTCTCTCTAACTTCATCATCTTGTTAGAAAAAAAGAAAGTAACCACACCCAATAATCACTAAGGACGATAAACACCTGTCATGCATCACTGATGACAAACCCCTCCCAGCTGTCAAGATCCTCCCAGGAGAGAACATAAGGCAGTGACAGTAGTAATTAAGTATTATTCATTAACAGAGTTCAATAAGAACTATGACGAGTCTGAAGACCAAGTTACGCTCGTAGGGGTTGGGCTTAGGAAAGTTCTGGAGGTGACATTTGAGCTAGGATGATTGATAGATAAGGACTCGACTTTTGACAAACAAGAATGCCCACATTCAGAGAAGAAAGGGAAAGGAATTCCACATTCCAGGCACAGCCGAGCTGGGCAAGTTAAAAAGCTACCGTACTCACCAATGTGCATGGAGTAGAGCAACCAGGACTGCCTGGGTGGCAGGGACAAGTGGGGCCCGAGAGATGAGATGAAGGGGCAGGATGGAACTCACCAAACTCAGAAGTCCCCACTCAGCTCTGAGTATCCCTAGGGACCCAATTAGCACATGCTTAGAGAACCAAAAATAAAGTCAAAATAAGGCTATATGAAAAGAAATGAGAATGATTTCAATATACCTTTGACTTTTGTGCAATTTCAGAAAATATATTTTTATTTCAGGCCTTGATATTGTTAAAAAAAATATGGAAATGAGCTGTGTAATCTCCTCAGTGTTTAAGATCTCTAAGTCCAGATGTTACTGGACTGGACATTGTTAATATATAATGGAGTTTTTATCTAAATCTGTCAAATGTTAATAATGGACTAAACATAATTAATGTAATTTTTGGCTGTATATACTGTATATACTTATTGGATAGATTTTCTTGTATTAGTTATAAGCTTTCTTTAGTTTTAGACAAAAAGAGAGGAAATGTGGTGGTATTGTGTTCCCCAAAATATCGTGTACCTTAATAAACTTAATAAACTTAGAGTGTTATGGGTTGAACATGAAATGTCTGCACTATGGGTTGGGTGTTTGGACCACTTGATCCCAAACTGGTGGTGCTGCTTGGGAAGGATTCAGAAACTTGAGAAGCTAGAATTTGGCTGGGGGAGGTAGGGTACTGGGGATACGACGTAGGAATTATGATTTGATCTCTGTGTCTATGTCTGTCCGTCTGTCTTGTAGTTGGAAGTTTTCCTGGTCTCACTCGGCACCAAGGTCCCACAGCCATTTATAAAATTCCTGTGTCCCACCTGGCCCTGCAACCACTCAGACCCAAGTAAACACACAGAGGCTTATATCAATTACAGACTGCATGGCCATGGCCTATGGCTCAAGCTTCTTGCTAGCTAGCTCTTATATCTTAAATTAACCCATTTCTATTCATCTATAAGTTGCCACGTGGCCATGGCTTACCAGTCTGCTGGCATGTTGTTCCTTCAGTGGCGGCTGGAATCTGCTTTGCCTTCCTTTCTCTTCCTGCCTGTCTGTTTGGATTTTCCACCTGCCTCTAAGCTGCCTTGCCATAGGCCAAACAGCTTTATTTATCAACCAATAAGAGCAACATATTTTCACAGCATACAGAAAAACATTTTTCTCTCTCTCCCTCCCCCCCCCTCCCTCTCCTGCAAAGCTGTGAGAAATCTCAGCTGCATACTCTGCCATACCTTCTCCACAATGATAACAGTACCCTCAAACAGTGAACAGTGAACTGGAGTAGATCCTCCTTCCAGTTACATTAGCCAGGTATTTTTTCACAGTGACGAGAAGTCAGTGGTGTGCCAGGCTTTAGACCTATTGCAGAAATTGTACACCAACGGCCCTCCCTTTGGGCTAGGCAGAGTGGGGTTAAAGCAGCTTGCAAAAATACTTTCTGCATGGCCCATAACTCTACCTTTTAACCCCCGTGGGGGAACTAGCAGTGTATGGAGTCAGTTGTTTATCCGAAGGACCTCCAACTTGTGGCATTTAAGAACTGTGACAAATGAAAGGAAGAGGCTCTCCCTGTAGCCCCAGAATTAGGAAACAGGGTCCTTGCAAAACATCAAGTTCTCTCTTCCTCCCTCTCTCCCCTCTTGTTCGTGTGTGTGTGTGTGTGTGTGTGTGTGTGTGTGTGTGTGTGTGTTCCTAGGAATCAAACTTAGGGCCTCATGCCCTCTACCATTAAGCTATCATCCCAGCCCAAGTACTTGACTCTCTAAACTGAAATTAGCCATCTTCCCAGGGACCTACCAAAAGGGACAACAAACTAACCCCTGCTACCCCTTACACACACACACACACACACACACACACACACACACACCCCACACACACACTTCCACCTCATTTCGTGTTAAGGTATTTTATAAGACACAGTGTTCGTGGCCAAACATTATGTGTGCCCCTCCCCCACCACTAGGGAAAAAAGAGGGTATATCCCCTGACACCCAAATTAGATTGGTAGGCATGTCTACAAGAAGGAGGAAATGAAAGTTCACACCTAGGCAGATTGTCACTATTACCCCATTCCAAGTCCCACAGCAGTGGTGCAGCCTGAGAGGCATTCTGGGAGAGTTTAACATGGATATTACCAGCTAGGGTTCCCGGAAACGCAGGTTCCAAGCAGCAGAGATAATCACATCCAAGCGGAGGAAAACCACAGTGGCTTACTGTCTCATCAACAGGTGGCTGCACCCCATAGCGTTCCCGCTGCCTCCCCCTGTCCTCAGTTACAAGAACAATTATCACAGCGCAAGGAGGAGGGGAGTGGAAAAGCAGATGTGGTCCTTCCTACCCACACCCAGATCCCCGACTGTAATTCCCCGAGGACACATTGCTTATCCCAGCACGGTCCTGGCCCAGAGTCGGCCTCTAATACTTCTTTGAAAATGAACGAGAGCCCCTCAGCCACCCCAGCTTTCCAGCTTCAGGAGTCCTATTTGTGGGGCAGAGGAGGGTGTTGTTGGCACAGAGCCTGGCTTGGGTAACATGGCACTACCCAGGACGCACATGGTGTGTGTATTTCTAGCAATGCTAGTTTCCGGGCGGGGCTTTGGCTTCCACGGTGTGCAGACCCGCCCCTGACTTTGCATTCTAGCTCAGTGGGTGGGAAGGTTTAAATTCTAGCAGCTCTCAGCTCTGCTGTGTGTTGGTTAAAATCCTCCACTAGCAGCATGAAGCTGGGAGCCTTCCTCCTCTTGGTGTCCCTCGTCACCCTCAGCCTGGAGGTACAGGAGCTTCAGGCTGCAGTGAGACCACTGCAACTTTTAGGTAAATACGGGCAAAAAGTAGCATTGTTCTGCCTTGAATGAAGGTATCAGAAGTTAGGCCTTCCAGAACCAGTGCGCATGCGCGCAGGAAGTGAGGTGGAAAGGGAGAAAAGATTCTTTAGGATCCTCCTTGATGGTCACCTCTTAGCTCCCTAGAACAGAATCCCTCTTCTGCCTTTTCCTTCTCTCTCCATTTGCCTCGTCACCTACCTGGACTCCCCGCTCCTGCTTGCTCCGCAGCCATCTCCATCTCTCCGCATCTCCCTCTCTACCAGCTCCTTCCTCGAACTGTCTATTGAAAATCTCTCTCGATGTTAAACACGGGTCAGTCTCAATCTTCTTTACCAACAATATTCTCAAAAAGGGTTTTGTTGCCATAGGGTTTTTGTTGTTGTTTGTTTGTTTGTTTGTTTGTCTGTTTTGAGACAATCTCAGACTACAGCCAAAGCTGGCCAGGAACTTACTATGTAGCCCAGGCTGACCTCAAACCCATGGCAATCTTCCTGCCTCTTCCTTCTATGCTGGATACAAGCGAGGAGTATTCTTAATTCTCTGACCATTCTTCCTTAACCCTTTGGTGACACCTCCTCAAGTCCTGACCCATTAAACCCCTGATGCATTCCTCTTGGGTCCTCTGGAGGAGACTCCTGACTCTTCTCAGTAGTAATGTCTGTGTCTCCACTGATCCTGCAGCCTGCTCTTGCTGTGAACCGTCTTCAGATCCAGCTTAGGCCTCTCTCCTTCACTCTCTTCCCCACTCCATCAACTTCCTGGTTTTGAAACACTGCATCTCTCCCGTCCTTGGCCCTCCCGTGGCCTCACTGTGTCCAGCCCTGATTACTCCACGACCCTGCCATTGCAATAGCTTCCCCCAGAGCTCTCCCTGTCCCTCGCTTCCTTCTTCAATGTGGTCTAGTTGAATCTTCTCTGCCTATGCTTTCACAGCAGATAATCTTCCCAAGTGACAGCAGTCACCTCATTCTCTCAGCCTGTCAAGTGGAATCCCAAATCCACAGGTCCTGGCCACCCGCCTGCCCTCGGCAGGGTCTGCTTCTCCTGCTTTACTTCCAGAGGCTCCCAAACTTGCTCAGCCCTCTCCTCGCCATTCCTCCTGGCTCCCCATATTCCAGGGGACACAGAGAGGCAAATGCTATGTCTAAGGGACAAGACTTGAAGAGTCAGTCTAGAGTTGTGGGAGTGTGTCTGTAGGTCCTGTGTCCTAGGAAACACACCAGCCTCTCAGAAGCCCTGCCCTATTACATTTCTGCCTGGTGAAGTTTTGCATCTTTCCTCATAGCACTCTATCTGCTTTCCTCTACTACTCTTACTTGAGAATATTCCTGCACTTCAAGGCTTACTTGTTATGATGAAGAAGAAATGTCTATCTCCTCTGAGCTTTTGGAGCCCTCTGGATCTACCTTGCAGGACACTTGTGAAACACTGCTTTGTTTGCAGGACCTTAAATATAAGTCTTACTTGCATTGGAAAGCTCAGGGAGCCTTATACTTTTTGAGTGCTTTATATATAGCAAAAGCTCAGCACATAAACACTTAATGATTGACCAAACTAATGTGAATAGGGATAGGGAGTCTTCAACTTTCTCATCCTAGAGCAACAATAGCACTGGAAACACTTGGTGGTCGTGTTACAAAACAGAGCCAGGGAGACTAACCTCACAGAGTGGCTGCAAGGCAACCAGCAGGTCAGAATCTCCCCTTCTCTTCTCCATGTCCTGTGCTGTGGGGAAAAGATTTCATATAAGCAATGTTCAGCCTTCTTTTCCACAAATACAGTCCCTCTGTCCATACCTCTAAAGTAGGCTTGCTTTAATAAGATTATGTGTGTGCCTTGTTTTTAGCAGAAATAAACAGTAACAGTTTACAAATTAGACTATGTATTGAGCTAAAAGAAACTAGTGAAATTTGTCTCTTTGTCTGTCTGTGAGAGGGTAAATTCATCATGTAGTTCAGGTTGGCCTTTAGCTGATGATCGGCCTGCCTCGGCCTACGAGTGCTGGAATTACAGGTTTATCCCACCTGCCTGGCTTTCAAATGATTTTTTTCTGACTTAGGCACCTGCGCTGAGCTCTGCAGAGGTGACTGGGACTGTGGGCCAGGGGAGAAATGTATCAGCAGCGGATGCAGTAGCATCTGTGCTACAAATTAAGAACAGGTAAAAACATCTGGCCCTTACTGTTACCTGAAATCTTGCCTAGACCGGGCAGGTTATACATTTGACCCCCATGAGACTTTCCAGAAATTGGTAGGATAGGATCCTATGTGTCTCCCTATAGCTTCTCCCCCTTTTTTTTCTCTATGAAGAAGATGCACCTACCACAGGATGGTTGTTTTCCAAACCTTTAGAATAATTTCCCAGCCCAAGCTACCCAGGAGGAAAAAATCAGGCAATATTTGAGCAAGAAGATAAAAAAATCACCCATTATTTTTAACTATGCACAAATATAAAAAATATGTTTAAAAACAAGAATCTTGTAGCCTTTTGATTCCTTAACTATTTAATTTAAAAATAATGAATCAACAATTTTAATATCAGTACTTATCCTCAGTCCCAGCCCATCTTTGCCTTCTCTGTAGTCCTTTGTATAGACTCTTTTACCAGCAATCTCTGTAGATGTACATTTAAGATTTTTGTCTTATAATATTAACATGACCATAATGACTATTAAAATGTGCACGCCCTTATTAATTCCTTTGGGATACAACCTGACATAATCAATGATCAAAGAATATTCTCACATGAGGCCCTTGATTCACATTGCCATATTGACCTAAGCACATGCTTTCTCTATTTAAAATTTGATGGGATTCATATTATTGTATAAATTTCCCTTTTTAACTTTCAGTACCCATTAACTGAAAAAAGGATAATAGAGCACTACTGTGATTAAGTTGTATTAATATGGTTAAATTGCATTAGCAGATTTAGAATGTACTCTAAACACCAAACTGTTTGGGCCAACAGACTGATCAATGGGTAGAGGCTCCTGCTGCCAAGACTGTCGATCTGAGTTGATCCCTAGAATCCACATGGTGGAAGGAGAGAACTGGCTCCCCAAATCTGTCCTCTTTCCTCTCACACGTATGCCATAACAAGCACATAACTGCACATACACAAACATAAACATGCACACAAACACTAATAAATTAAAACAAACCCAAACTGTTCATGTTCAGGACACTGTATTTGTCCCGCCCACCTGTAGTGCTTGCTGGCTTCTTGACACTGCTTTAGATTTCCAGAATCAAGAACTACTGTTTCTCATTGCATTCTGGGTAGCCAGGTACCCCCAAACAGCAGGTCTTAAGTATAATTTTTATATCTATTTCTCCAACTAAGAATGGTCTCAAGGGCCATCTTCTCTCATAATTGCTCCTCTCTTTCTATAGCTTCTACCCGGGAAAAATATGCCTGTCTGGAGCTCCGTGCCCAAGAAAGCAGTTGAAAATGGAGGCCATGGATGAAGATTACAAGGAGCACAGTGGGGAGGGACCAGGACGTGTTTCTTTTAATAAATCATCATTGTAAGAGTCTCCATGCTACTTGAATTATTTGGTTGGAGGTTGTTATGGTTTGAATATGACATGTCTCCCACAGACTCATACGTTGAGGGCAACTGGTCCATAGTTGAGGGCACTGTTTAGGAAGCAGGGGCATTACTGGAGGAGGTAGGTCACTGGGGCATTTTGCCCTGGGCCCACCTTGTTTCTTGCCACTTCCTGGTTGCTTTAGGTGGACAGCCTCAACCAAACACACCTGTTGTCATGATAAATTCTGCTTTGTTACATACAGAGCAAAACAGAAGATCCAGCCAAGCACAACCCTAAACCTCTGAAACAGTGAGCCAAAATAAATCCTCCTTCCTTTAAACCGTTCCTCTCAAGTATCTAATCCTAACAGTGGAAAAGCTACTAATGCCAGTATGTTGAGTTCTGATAGCATCTATCCTTGGGGGGGGGGGGGGATGTGAGTCCACCAAAAAAAAATGAACATACCTATTCTGTGGTCATCACCAACTGAAGGGGAAAAAAAAAATACAGAGTTCCCAGAGAGGCCTTTGAAGACTTCTTGCATTGGCTTGAGTTACGTGGTAGCAGCCCCTACACACCAGCCTCCTACCCTGAGACTGGAAACTCACAGCTGAGCAGCAGTATATTCTATAATACCGGGTCATTCAGTCTGGAATAATACTTTATGTGGGTCATTGTGGGAGCCCGTTCTCGGGTTCCTCGTGGCTTTACCCAGCAGGTCCGAATAGAGGATGATCAGGACCACAGGCCTGAGTGCAGGTGTCTGAGATGGTCTGCACTTGGCTGTGCTGGGGGAGGAGGTCTTTTGCTCCACCCCTTGGCATCTCTATAAAAAAAACCCGGGCCAGAGACAGTCCGGGCCCGTTGGAATAGGTTCCAGGCCCTCTCGAGGCTATCCTTTATTTTCTGTCTGTTTATCTCCGCAAGATTCTCCACTATAAATCCTTCTATCTAATATTTCCTGCTGATTGCACTCAAGAAAACTCTAGGGAACTGTGGGGGTGGTGGGTAAACACCCCACAGGTCATCCATGTTGCTAACCCCAGACTGTTCGCACAGTCTCTTCATACCGCTACTGTGGTAAAAAAAAAAAAAAAAAAAAAACGAGGCTCTACATCCTTTCAGCTCCGTGCAATGTTTTGACATGTCTTAAACACTGCTTCAGATTCTTGGGGTCAAGCAAAGAGAACCACTGCTATAACCACCAGTTTATCTCACTGGGTGGAGGTACTTTTGTGCCTGGGGGTAAAGGAGATCAAGGATTCTGATACGATGTATCAGACGATGTAGTGGACGATGTCCCATAGTTAGCATTTCTATCTACAGGAGTGCTTCCCAACTCCAGCCCGAATCTCGAAACTCTAGCTATGCCAGCCCTGCCCAGGAGCAAACTTTGTGAGAGGATAAGGAGGTGTGGATGACGGAGTTTCCAAGCCTTCTTTCTGCCACCTTTTACAAGACACCAGGCTGAAAGAATGATACCCCAATAACACCACCGCTTGCAGACCTATAGCTCAACAGAGCTTTCCGGAACTAGAGCACACCGCGAGGCCCTGCCCCAAGCGGTGCGCCGGAAGTGTTTCCCAGCCAGCTCACGTAGGAAAAATGGCGGCGGTGCAGGTCGCCTCCTCGCTTCCTTGTGGGCAGCCGCGAGAGGCCCGGCGGGAGCTGTCGCCCGGGCGGGACGATGGGTTCCGCCGCTTGTCTGCCCGGCTCCGCGCGCTGCAGCCGGATGACAGCACCGCGTCCCGCATGGAGATCCACCTGCTCTTGGACCAGCTCATCTCCGAGAACTACGGCGAGGGAGGCGGCGTGGCCCCCGAGGTAGGCGGCGCGCCGCACCCTTCCGGGACTACGGCCGGTTCCCCTCTCCGGCCCCTCCGGGTGTCACCGGTCCGCCGGATGACTTAGTTCCCGACTGGGTTTCTCCCTCTGCCGGTGCCACAGTCTCTGCCCTCCATCGGAAAGTGTGCAAGCTAGCGTCTTCCAAAGGCTTCTGCTCTAACGCCCTCAGCTGCCAACCCTGGTGAGCGGTTGCAGCAATGTCGAGGATAATGTTTAGTTGGTTTCATTGATGAACACACTGAAACTCACAGAGGTCCAGCGTCACGGTTTTGGCAAACGGCAGAGCTAGAATTGGAGCCTAAGTTTGCCTTCGTGCCCGTCTTTTCTGTTTTGTTTCCGTCCTGGCTCCTCCTCGTTTGCCTCGCTTCTACTGCCAGAGTCATCTTACTCATCCACACCAGACCTTGTAAATCACTAATTCCCCGAGTCCTTGAGCCAGTCCTCCCATGGCCCACTAACACCTCCAGCTTGATAGCTTTCAAAGGTGAATACTCTGTCTCCCACACTCCGGTCCCCAATTCATTCTACCCCACCCCGCCCCAAAGACCCACAAGGCGCACACGCTGCTTCTCCCCTTTATCCTGGAGCCTGTCCGATTAAATTTCTTCAGAGTCTGTCTCAAACATGTATCTCAGTTCGCTCTCTCTTTTTTATTCCCATTGTCTGTGCTTTAGGCAAAACAATTCTTGCCTAGACTGTTCCCCTGGTCTCTCACTGATCTTCCTCCCGTCTAGCCCCTTTCCAGACTAGTCTTTGCCAGAATCTACTATTTGGTTAAAAAACAAAACAAAACAAAACAAAACAAACAAATCCATAAAAGTGTAAACCTAATTAGAAATTTTCAATGTATATTGGCAAATGGCAGAAGCAAGCTGCTTAATAAAACAGTCTAGGGTTGGGGATTTAGCTCAGTGGTAGAGCGCTTGGAAGGCCCTGGGTTCGATCCTCAGCTCAAAAATAAATAAATAAATATTAAGTAAATAAATAAAATAAAACAGTCTATAGAGTAAGAGACAAGTGTGGGGCTCAAGGAGAGAGGAGAATTTTAAAAATAAGTGTACATTTACATATGAAGGGGGGGGGGGCGAAATCCAGAAGAGCTCACCACGGAAAAGGGAGCAGAGTAGAATTAATCCCAGCACTCGGGAGGCAGAGCCAGGCGGATCTCTGTGAGTTCGAGGCCAGTCTGGGCTACCAAGTGAGTTCCAGGAAAGGCGCAAAGCTACACAGAGAAACCCTGTCTCGAAAAACAAACAAAAAGAGTGAAGTTAAGGGAACTTTGATTTATATGCTTTGATATTTTGTGCAACAGCAACAGGTGTGCCTTCCTACTTTTCTCTCCCCTTTCTCCTCTTGGACCCTGGGTGCAGTCTTGTGCAGCTTGCTGCTGTTCAAGCACCTGGGGACTTTTCACATCTCCAAGGCTTCCCATACTCCATTCCCATCATTTGCTTTTTGATTACTTGTCTGTTCATTCTTCAAACCATTCCAGATTCTGCTTAAAATTCATCTTCAGGAGTCCTTCCTACCGAGTTTATACAGAATTCTTTCTGTTCTTAATTTATTGTCATTATTTGTGTTTTCTGTCTCCCTCGCTAGATTGTAAATTCTTTGTGGTTCAGGGAAATGTTTGTTTCACCTTTGGAGTCAAAAAAGCTAGCCTTTTAACCTGGCTCAGAGCCTTTTTGTTTAGCAATCAACAGTAGCTGGTGTAATTTGTGAATAGCGTCTTCTTCTTTTTCCTTTTCCTTTTTCTTCTTTTTTTGTAATTTTTCTGATTTCATATAAGAGTCATGTAAGGGTTGTTTCTGATTTGCTCAATAGCATTGAATGTCTGGCTCACTTGGTATTTTTAGCCGTAGTGTGTGTGCTTTTCTATGCTGGAAGCCCTTTTGTTATGTAATTGTACTGTATGGTAAAAGTTCTTTTCCTTCTTTTTAGTACTTCTTAATTCTTGTTATATCCTAATTCCCCTAACCCTTATTTTCTGCCTCAACTTTCACTCAGATATTTTTCCTCACTGAGCGTGGAACATTCACTATACTTTTCCCATTATTTGACTGTGCTTTGGGGTGTTCACTTGGCTGACCAGTGCATTTATCTTTTTTTTTTTCAATAGGATGTCAGTGCTCTTCTTGTGCGGGCTTGTCAGTTGGTGCCTCTTAATCAGAATCACCTTGTCAGCAAAGTGTCTCAGCTGATCCATCTTCTACTTAACAGATTACAGGTAATCATGTATGCAACTTTAGGACTCAGATTGTGAATGCACATATGATAGGCTCATCTTTTTGTTTTGTTTGGAGACAGAATCTTCAGTCAGGTTGGCCTGAGAAAGACCTTGACCGTCTGATCTTTTTGTTCATGTTTAAAGTGTTGAGATTACAGATGCTTGCTACCATGCCCAGGTCAGTTATCCTATCTTTTGAAAAGCTTGGAAAAGCAAAATGCCCTGAGCTGAGAATGTAACTCAGTGATGGAGCCTTGCAAGGCCTGGCACCCATGAGGCCATGGGTTCAATCACAGCAACAGTACCACCAAAAAAAGCAACGCTTACTAAGAGTATATCTTAGATTTTTTTTTCATGGAAAATAGAATGACCAAGATATATATCCCAGAACACAATTACATGATTCCCTATTTCTTTCCTACAAATATTTTTCCTTTTTCTTAAGACTATTATTTTTGTGATTTACATAAAACCCCACAAGTATCTTGGAAACAGAGAGCCCCAGGATAAAAAGTCCACAGTTATTTCTATCAAGGTCTGTTCTGCAGTTCTCCATCTGTAAAACTGAGTAAATCCTTGTGTAGATGAATGTACGCCTATCGTTTGGCATTGTGTCAACCAGAATCCTTCAGACTGCCGGAGAGGAGAGCATTCAAATGAAACCAGAACCCTGCTACCGGGCAAGAGGACGGATGCTGGTGTGAAACCGCTGTGTGTGTTAGATGCTGGTGTGTAACTGCTGTGTGTGTGTGTGTTAGATGCTGGTGTGTAACCACTGTGTGTGTTAGATACTGGTGTGAAACCGCTGTGTGTGTGTTAGATGCTGGTGTGTAACTGTTGTGTGTGTTAGATGCTGGTGTGTAACCACTGTGTGTGTTAGATGCTGGTGTGTAACCATCTGTGTGTGTTAGATGCTGGTGTGTAACCGCTGTG